TCCCTTAAGCCCTAAAATTGAGATTTTACTTAAATCGAATTGTCCTGAAGCTAAAATACCAGAAGGTTTTCTCACGCAGACTGTCGCCCTTCACAGGTTCCACATTTTCTGCTGCTAGTGCTGCATCTACCACTGGACAGACGTTCGAATGCTTGCTTTTACTCCTGTTTTCCTCTGTTGTCAGAAAGTCCAGCTCTGTGGACTTTGGAGGCTAAGGAAGCTTTTGGGGACCTGCAGCAGTGTCTCTTTTAATTGGAAATGACAATTCAGACTAAACGGTGTATTTTGGGAGTACCCAAGGCTGGAATAAAGAATGACAGGAAATAGTATAAACATTCCATATTACGGCATTATTGCCGTGCATATTTTGGCAGTTCAATACATATATATCATACAGACAACTGGGGGCAATTCGGTCGTTTTTGCTGCTACCATACAAACTAATTTCCAGTAATTGTGCAGCTTCTAAGAAATATGCCTGCATACATGTATAAACTATATAATTAATTCACAAAGAAGCTACATTTATGTAAAACAACCCTGTTCCACGAGCACTTCCAAGATCATCAGACGCAGGGCCTTTAAAACATCTGCGAACCAGCGCATGCAGAGTGGCAGCGCAGAGTCGGGGTCGCGAGCTAATTTGCCGACCACCCAAAGGCCCATGATATAAATGCCACTTCAAATGCCTTGAAAGCGGGATAGTAAAGAATGTCCCTCCCTGAGGGTCAGGTTGTTTTGTCCCGGTCCTTCCTAGAAGTCGTAGGGAAGGGCCGGGCGATCGTGGACAGCCGCGAAAGATGGTCGCTTCTTGCTCGTTGGTGGTGGCGGAGCCTCGAAGAAAGACGCTCAAAGTCGGGAGCAACAGTTAATAAAAGCAAATGTATTACAACGTCAACAGCAAACTCGGTTACAAACCTCTACTGTCCGCTCACGGCAGTAGAGATACCAAAAATACCGCGCCTCGGCGCAAAGTGCCCACCGCGCACGGTGAGGCTCAAAGAAACTGTTTGTCGCTCGCGACAAAGCTGCGCGGACCGGCGGACCGCGGGAGATAACTTGCTCCGCGCGCGGGCTTGTTCAAACTCGGCGTTTTTCCGCCGGCGCGGTCGAGAAAACTCCCCGCTGACACAGGGCCTGTCCAATCAGGACAATTATACAATTCTATTGGCCCCAGTGCCAGCGGGTCCTCCACCAATCATAGAAAGGCCACCGACATTCCGAAGGGAGGCCGGACCTCCCTCTCTCCCCCGAAGTCGCCGACATGGCCCCGACAAGGTCGCCTCCCCAATTACCTCGGCGGCAAGGGCGACCACCCGCGAACAGAGGTTTGTTTACTTCCCACGCGGGGAAATCTGCTTCCACTTTCGGGAGCTGGCCTCCGCTTGCCGCCAAAGGGAAAGACAAGACATCGGGCGCCTCCGAAGGACGCTTCGGGTGACCGCGCCGCCAATTCCCCGAGCTCTTTCGGCTAAGCCCCTTCGGCCATCCCTACAGGGATGTAATATCGTCCTAAATCATAAACATGCAAGGAACAGATTTCCAGCGTCTGAAACACTTGCGCCACCGCTTCACCGACCCCTTGCAAGACTGCCTTGTATCGTGTGAACGGACGGGGAGGTTCATCGGCGGAATTGCCTCGGCCGATAGCTTTCGGGATTCGTAACCCAATTTTAAAGGTAAAAGGGACAAGCAGGCTCATAAAATGTACGGAAGCACGTCAATATCGGCCTAACTCAACGTCTTGCACACCGAGTAAACGAAGTCAAGGTCCTCGAAGAGTTTGCAGCACACAACGCCAAACCAGGAAACCGGTGCTGGGAAGCGAGCCGATGCGAGATCGCGGAGCGGAGTCCTCCCCCTGACGTCACGGTCCACCTCACCCAATTCGGGCGCGGCGACCGCAGCGACGCTTGTGCTCGCTCTCGGGGCTAATAGGAGGTGTTGGTCGGCCCCTCTCTCCCCCTTTCCCTTTCTAAGTTCTCTTTTTTGGGAGGAAACAAAAGTAAACAATCGTGTAGAGGTTACCCGTTCTTGTCCAACGTTACATTTTAGAGGAGACACAAGAGTCGCAGCGTAACCATTAAACGTGATTCTAGACAAAAAAAAAAAAAGGACAGCCGTTTTAACCTCTAAGGCAACGGAAAACCCTTGAAACCTTTAAAAACGACTTTGTAACTTCTAAAATTGAAGTTTCATTCATCTATAGGTAGCCATAGAGGGTACGCTGTTAAGAGTGTAGGCAAGGAACGCGCTGGCGCAACCTTCCCAGAATCCAGGACTTCAGTTGCGTCTGGTTGCGTCCCCCAGATTGCGTCCCCCAAGAAAACAGTCATAGTATCGTGTAGCTTAGAAGCACTCAAACCGCTGAATTTAACGCCTAATTGCTCTACTCAATTTGAATAAAAAAACGCTACAGCCCCAGCAAGCCAATCAAAGCATTGAAAAGATGCACGTGTCAATGCGTCATCATTTCTTGAGAGGCATCATGTGCTACGCTCCGTCGTTTTCATTGTCTCGAGGGTGCCGCAGCGTTGTTCCTTTGCCAAGTTTCCAGCTACTACACATAGTCACCATACTGATTAAGGCAGCTATGACGTGACCCAACCATTTGGATGCCCTTCCTAAAATGTGTTACAGCCTCGGTTCTTGGTAAGTTTAATCACAAATTACACAAGACCGTCAGTCGCCAGAGACATTCTTTCCTGACACCCATCATCAAGGACTTCCGCACGTCGTTCCCGAAGCCTCCTGCAGTTTCCTCCACACATTACAAATCGCAAGTGTCGGACTTGTTCAACTTGTGATGGAATAATTGGGAACCCCGGTAACAATACTTTCTGGGGAGGCCATTCAAACGCGTGATCCATATCATAATAACTGCCTTAATCTGTGCGGTATTTGTGTGAAGTGGCTAGAGTATGTATCTATAATCCGTATGACTAGTTGCGTGCAGTGCCGGCGAAGGAAACGCCAGGCGAGGGAAGAAAGGGCAAGCACCAGGAAGGCTGGGGAAGAGGAGAGAATCCTCTCCCTTTTAACGTGCCTATAAAAAACTTCGTTTCAGCTTCGGTCCGAGCGCGGCCGACGTTATGAGCCGAAGGGCCAATCAAACAGCGAAAGACGCACAACGTCATGGCGTGCTCTCTGCAGTTGATAGGACCAGCCGGTATTCGCCGTCTGTCTGTGCGTGCTCCTCCGCCGGCTAGTCTTATCAAGCGCAGAGAGCACGCCATGACACTGCGCTTTTTGCGGTGTCTGATTGGCCTTTCGGCTCATAACATAGGCCGCGCTCGGACCGAAGCTGATTCGAAGTATAGTGCTCTCCCTTTCTCCCCTCGCCCTCCATTGCACTCCTCTCCCGTCCCGCCTTCCTAGTGCTCGGCCTTTCTCTCTTCGCCTCGCGTTGCCTTCGCCTGCACTGCACACAACTAGTGACACGGCGAATGCATTCTGTGCAGGGGTGGCCTAGTGCATGTTATGCCGGAAAACGAGTCGAAAAAACGACGCCTGCACATATAGGAAGCTCGAACTTTCAATCGATTGGCTTTGAGGTGATGCATTCTGGCTGTTGAAAGATTAAGGCATAACTGAATTTTTGTGAAATATTAGACCTAACAAACTTGCGGGTGTAAACGTTAACACGTGCGTCACACTTTTCTTTTTTTTTTTTTTTTAAGAATCAGCTTGATTTTGTTTAGTCAGTGAAGAAGTTTTATTTGCTGCAATACTGCAGCCAATGCAAACAGATGAGCCCCATTTCGATTTTTCATATATGCAAACATTGAGAAAACAACATCCCCCTTTTAACAAGGTATGTGTTTTATTAACAGATCATCGAGGAGATCTCGAAAAGCATTGCGCCAAAAGGCAAGCATATGATACAAGACTTGAAAAAGGAAATTCTCCGGCAGGTTTTGAAAACACCTCCCTCCTGGAGATTGTGAGCCAAGTTCTTTACCGACTGAATCGTCAAGGGACTATTACTCTTCTTTAGTGCACTGCACTATCAAAGGGCGGTGTTTGATCTCGCATGAGAAATCAAAGATCATCGCGTTTGTCAGACATCAACCCGTTCGCAACGCCAAACGCAGGACGCCAGCGTTCGAACGCGCTCAAACAATACCCCCCCCCCCCCCCCTCTCCCCCCGGTCCCCCTCCCCCGGCCCTCCGCTTTCACTGCCCAGCTTCACCCAAGGCGGCGATTTTCATGTTGGTTTTGGCATCATCTTCATTTGCAGTTTTCTCAATAGCTATTTTGAATTTCGAGACATTAAAGAGCATAGCGTGAAGTCCGGGTATTCAGAAAATGGGATTTCTTTGGGGTTGTTCAAAAAACGGCCGGAGTACCTTTTTACATTACTTCCCAACACTGCTGTGACCTGAAAGAAAAACAAAAACAAAAAAAAAAAAAAGCTAGACGGTGAGTATGGAGACGCTGTGAAATATATATTTGTACTGTTATCCTTTCCTTCGGCGCCGCTTAGCCTAGTGTCTGAAGCAAGAAATACTGGGTATCCCAGGAAGCCGTGATCGCGTAACATGCCAGTACAGTTGAAGCTACAGCCCTGGCGGGCCAATGTGAATATGACTGCGTATCACCGGAGCGCGCCCCTAGTCCGAGAAAGTATCGGGCTTTTCGCTGCGTCATGCTCCAATATGTGTGCGATGCGCTCGTAATCGTCGCGCATTTCGAAGCCGTCGGCACGCAATCTGGGGCTTATCATTCGCCCTTTGCCGAGTTACGAGATAGGGTATAACCGTGGGCTCTCACTCTGCCGGCGCCGCCTGGCTGTTGCCGGCTGGCTATACGTGTGTGGCGTACAAACCTTCACTCCACGTGCTGCAAGGTTTCTTAACCACTCCCATCTTCGCCGGGACGTTGCGAGGGAACGCATAAAATGCAACCAATCCAGCAGGTCTACGGTGTCACGCTTTATTGAACTTTCACGCGTTAAATAAATGTGTTGACAAGAGCAGGAGGGAATGCACCAGAAACTTCACTCGACGTCATCCAGGACGACTTTCTTCGCCATCGCCTCCACGCTGTCTACCGCCGCAGTCTTGCAACTATCCATCAAGTGGTCCACGATTTTGCCTCGAGCAACTGAAGTACCGCAGACCCGGCAGGACACCGCGTGATACTCGCATGCTGAGTAGTGACCCTCGAGATCAGCGATGTTGCTGTCGCTCTTCAGCACGTACGCACAGCCGTGAGGGAAGTTAGGACATCGCATGCCGTACTCTCTCACGATGGCCCTCTCCGTAGAGGAGCTTGCAGTTGCGAAATTCGTCAAGTATATGGTCGTCTGATCGCGAGGACACATCGGAGGACTTTCGCTGCTGACGAGTTGATAGCACGAGCCGCAGAAGGTGTGGAGACATCCGGGAAGCACGGGCGCCATAGAAACCACGCCGCACAGGCCACAGATGTGTTGAGGAGGCGGCGGCCTCGAAAATTCGATGGGTCTGTTGTCTAGGGCCTTTGAGAAGCCACGCAACGTCCATGTTCGCTTGGTGTCCTTTTCTGCCACAGCCATCAGTAGTCTGAAAAATACGCGCAAACAAACTCATCGTATATTTTTCGGAAGTACCAGTAACATTGTGGTTTGCTATCATCTGGAAGAAAAGGGGCGTATTAGGGGCGGTGGCAATCGGTAGGTCGAACGACTTTACATCGAAAAGCCTCCCACGTTCGTTTTATCCACACACCCTGGGACGTTTCGTCGAACACAATGCTGTTGTTTTCGCAAAAAACATTTTGCTTCTCGCGGGGAGAGAAAGGAGGGGGTACCCAAGGTTTTTTTAAACACATCTCAGTGAATCGCGCCTTTAGCGGCTTCCAAATTTGACTACGCAGTCAGTAAAAAAAAATAAAAAATATATATATATTGTTCACGTATCGTCGTAGTAGCATTTGTCCACAAAACACCACAGTGCCGATGAGACGCATGTCCATGAAACATGAGTCCATAAAAAACTATTCACGAATCGTGCTTCCACAAAACCTGTTTCGAACGAAACGACACGGACCCGTTATGGGGGCGGGCGGGCGTATGGCCCGTCCGCCCCCATAACCGTCAAAATGCTACAAATTACATTCAAGATTTTGGTGAAGACGCCTTTATAGACCAAGCCTGCTTTGGTGACAAAGTCACCGCAAGAGAAGCAAACTCTTCTTTTCCTGACCACACTCACGGGGTGTTGAGCAACCGGTGTTAAAAGACACCAAAAGTGAAGTTTTGATATTCAAGAACGATCAGCAACCAATGGCTTACCCCAGTTCGGCCTCATCCGATGGGAAAAGCAACAGTGCCAAGGATGGGTGGTAAGCGACTTCGGCAATGCCAGCAGTGCTACGGGCTCCACTTCAAAGACCTTAGACCAGTTACGAGCAACGAGGCGTCAGATTATTCGCGACAGGCGGGAACGGCAGGGATGTTGCCAACTGTTTTTTTTTTTTTTCTCGAAAATCTGCACAGCTTGATTAAACCGTGCCTACGGCATGTATGACACTCACGAATTTTCTTTCTTTATGCTGCAGCAGCTTTCCCCCTGTAGGGACATCTCGGAGTTCCCGTGGCTGATATATATTTTTTTATTTTTTTTAGTGATAGTGCGGTTATTAAGTTAGTCATACCAGGAGTGCAAATAATTCGCAGCCAAAGCTACAAGCTGATGGGACCCAATCAGCCAGCGTCAAGAGCGATGATAGAGCACGTACAGTAACATGACGAACACCAACATAATGTTCGTCATGTTTGTACGCGCTCTATCATCACTGAGCCCCCTAAACAGGAAAGGCCCAGTGACTTGTTCTTTTGACGCGGTTCGATTGGTCCCATCAGCTCGTGGCGTCGGATGTTGCGGACTCGATATTCTGCAAGACTTTCCTCCTCTCAACTTTTTGAGCGAGGGAAGCGAAGGATGAAAAGAAGGGACTAATGGCGAATTCAAGTGGTCGTTTTGCAGCGCGCCGGGATCGACTTTAATTGGAGCGCGCATATTTCACTGGACGACCGGGATCGAAACGGATGTGTTCCACTCGTCGTTTTGGATCAGCTGCCACTTCAGATCTCCATCTGGATCAGAGAAAAGTCGCTCCGCCGATTTCAGCGGATTCTACCGGAAGCCAGCCTGGCCAGCCCTCAACGCGCACACGTGGCTTTTTTTCTCGCCAGGCATCTCGCATCGGAAGAATTCGCAACTTTCATGGCCTATACACCTTTCCAAGAAACACTCGGCCCCAGGGGCAACAAACCGTTTTCGAGCCCAGTCACTGGGTTTGAGGGTAGACTCTCACCGGCGTCCCTGCTAGCCCTAACCGAGTGGACTGTGATTTCGATAGGCGCAGCCTGCGCAGGCGCTGTTTCAAACACTGCTGGTGGCTAAATTCTCGTCTTTTCCCGCTGCATTTTGTGTTTCATGGTGTCGTATTTTCTAAATGACATTAAAAACGCATTGTAAAGCATTAAAAACATGATTTTTTTTTCTTTGGGTACGCGCGCGACAGAACGACTGCGATTGGAGTGTTAGTTGCCGTTGTCTTTTTACGATACGTTTTGACGGCGCCGACCGATCTGCCGCATGTCAAACGACAAAGCGTTCAGCTGTCGAAAATAATTTACAACAGAAGATAGCCGAAAGGCGTGCGTTTTTCACGCTCACAAATAACGCGTTTACCGATGGTCAGGACTGGGGCATATAATTTAGCAAGTGTTAACATTCGAACAATATACTGTACGTACCAAACGATGAAGCCTTGTCTGAAAATAATTTATTTGAGAAAGATCTCAAATAACACAGATACAGTCGACGACAGTCACATCTTGACGATCGGACAAAATCCGAGATGACTTCGTTTTGGGGCACATTTTGGGGAGAGCTTCTTTTTGTTTCACACCAGCACCAAGAAAAAGGAACGAACGTAACTAACTGGGCTTGGGGCCAACACATTCATCGTGCCAATACATCCATCAAGAAATTACGTCCAATTTCGTGCCATTAGATCCATCGTACCCGTACATCCATAGTGCCAGCACATCCATCGTGCCATTACATCCATCATGCCGTTACATCCATCCAGCCATTACACCCACCGCGCTATCATATCCATCGAGCAGCTTCGTCCAAAAACATGCCATTACATCCATCAATTACGCAGGTTTATTTTCTTGTTTAACTATGCTGTATAATAGTTCACATTATTTTGAAGATTCATACGTTAAATTGAATGTACAAAAGCGAGTAAAAGGACCTTTTGAGCATCATGCACTTTCTGCGGCCCTCGGCGTCTCCGAAGTCGAATACGGATTCTCGGCTCGTTGTTTCTTGTTTCCACAGTGCTCAAAATTTAGTTGCTGCTTTTTTTCACCCTCAAAGTTGTCTAAAGAGAAACTTTATTATAGAATTAGGATGGTACACAGAATTACACCTTCTATTTCGCTTTGAGAAAAAAAAATCTGAATATCTTATAGAATTTAGTTGTGATATACTAACGTTCTGGGGCTTACCGTTTGTTCCCTGTGGTTCCCGAATCAATGTGGAGAGCAAGCTGTCTGCTTCTTTTGCAGGCGTTGTGGTGACGTCAGAAAGACGCCGAGCTCTGATTGGTTCTGAGTGAAGGATAGTGGGTAGACCTCAATGCCAGGTGCCTTGAGGTCTACCCACTATTCTTCAATGATCGCCAGAGTTCGGCGTTCTGACGTCACCACAACCCCTGCAAAAGAAGCAGACGAACTTACTTTCCGCAAAAGAATGTGAATAACGCAAAAAACTCAATGGCGGCCATCTTGGCTTTTATGGATGCGCTAGCACGATGGATGTAACGGCAAGCTAGGCGCCGTCACAGATAGGATGAGCAATTACATCCACCGGGCAACTACGTCTATCGAGCAACTAGATCCAACGAGCAACTACATCCATCGTGCAGCTACATCCATACACGTGTCAACACATCCAATGAGCTAGTTTATCCACCGTGTCATTACATCCATCGATGGATGTAATGGCTCGGTGGATGTACTCGCTCGATGGATGTGTTAACACGTAATCCTGAGTCAGACTGACCTGTTTCCCACCCCAACCCAAACAACTATTTCTGGAGATGACTAAGGACTCTACGCGGATTATCTCTGGGAGGGGGAGAACAGTTGCCATTGTTCGCAAAATCGCGTCGAGGGCCGTTCGACGTCCTCTCCTCCTTCATTTTCCGTGATTGTCGAGCAGAAAGGCTTGAATGGCCAAGCACTTACCAGCCCTATTTCTCACAGTGGAAGACAACACAGAAAGGGCACCCAGCATGCATCAGAATAATTAAGTGAAAATTTTCAAGAGGGGCCAGAAAACGTCGAATGCAAAACCGCTAAACATAGGTAAAGAATCGCGCTGCGTGGGTTCCCACAGTCCAAGAGATTGGAAGAAAATTTCTAGCTGATAGAGGGCGCAAGAGTCGCATCACGCACCAGCCGCATCAGCAACATGGCGGTGGCTTAGGAGCGTTTTTTGGACAGGTGTATAGGGGCCGCGTTTGTTCCTATCAAAATGGCTGTCGTCTGGATGATCGTCGAGGAACGGAAACACGAGGTTCGATCTGCGACGCGCAAGTAAATTGAATTCTGTGAAACACGAGCAATATGAGAGCCTTCCGTCATACTTCCACGTCAGGAAGGCGTAATCAAGCATCTTTATCTTGAAGTAAATCATACAGGAGCTAGGGAGCGCGATTCTCACACCACGATATACCACCCTCGCTGAAAGTTGCGAATTTGTAATGGCCACTCGCGAAGTGCCGTATGTTTTACTGCTGCTGCTGCTTGATGACAGTTCGTCGTCAAGTTGCTTGAGCAGCTCTTCCAGCAGCAGCAGCAGCTCGAGTAGCAGCGACGACGGGAATTGCTGGTATGTCCCGCATGAATTCGACTGCCTTTTCAGACATCCGCAGAAGAAGCCGAAAATCGAGACGTACTTGGTCACCGTTCACGAGTATTCCGCTGAAGAGGCAAGTGGGCTACTCTGATGCACATCGCTTATCGACACGCATCTTTCACATTATGATTAACTTCGCTCGTGCGTTGAGCACGTGTTGCTAGCGCCGGGATTGCGAAGACATGTGCTTCGAGATCCGAGACTGTGGGAAGGGGATTCCCGGGAAGGTGAATCACGGGAAGTCATCCCCAATCCCGGAGGAGAGGTCATGTTCCACTGAGAATCCGGAAGTGGCCGACATCGTTCGGATCGCGTGCTCCATCTTGGATCTGGTCTACTGATCCCGGCGCGCTCCAAAATGACCCGTGGAATGGGGCTTTTCTGCGCGGGCTTGACGTCACGAACCTGCGGCGGCGCTGCGATCGCGCCGGAGCCGAGAAGTGTGGGCAAAAGGGTGCGCGTTTCGCATGGGCGGCACAGGATTTCAGCATACCGCGAAGCTGTGTTTCCGTTAATTTCACCGAAAGGTACAGAAAAAGTAGCAAAGTGAGTTTCCACAAGTTCCCGGCAGACACTGAAAGGCACAGAAGGTAGATAATATCCGTGGATCGAA